GGAGGCCTCTTTAGATAATAAAAGGACTGGATCGGGTCAACACAAAATGTCAAAGAAGAAATTAATGGTGAAACTTATCTTGGACCCCACAAAGCAGGCAACAGTTTGTCCAGATGAAGCTGCAAATGTCAAACAACCATCAGAAAAAAACAAGCAGAATGCAAAAACCAAGAAAGGATTGAAGATCCCCACAAAAAGGTTAAAACTGCAAGAAAAGCTACTGCCAGTCAAAGCAATTCACCTCCAGTGAATTTAGTACAACATGATACACATCATCAAAAGCCTGCAGATGCAAGCAATTACACATTAGCAACATTTCCAAATGACACGCAATGTCAGCTTAATGCGACATCTGAATCTGACAGTCGGGATAGGCTCATGGAAAGCAATGAGAAATTTCACACTGTTCTTATAGACAAAACTTCTTATAAACAACACGTTGCTAAAACGCTTCAATCAGACACCGCATATTCACATGGAACAGATCAAGGAGATGTAAGTCCATCAGTGTTCCTAGGAAATGATTTCCCAGTGACATCTACTGAAACAAATGAATTAATCAATTCTGTTGAAAGTTTTCTAAGCATTCCAGATATCAACACAACTGAACTGCAGGAATCTCAGAGGTCCATGGAGTCTAATGAAGCATCCTTCACACCAAGTGAAATGTCAGGGAATACAGTTGCTGTGAAGAATATGAATTACCCAACAGCACCATTCCCTTTAACCTGTCCTAACAATACGGCTTTTGAGTCTCCCTCCACAGAAAGGACACATGTAGATGACAATGAAAAGAAGGATACATTACTCCAGTTAAAGTCTTCCACTGTTGGCACCATTGAACATCAGAATGTCACGTTGGATAGAAACAACAGGGACTTGAAGTTACAAAATGATCAATATTCATCTCAAGTATCTGTCATTGGGGAATTGCAGTTTGATGGCAGAAATGCTTTGAAAATATCTGAGAGGCAAGAACAAGAAGATTATAACAAGCAATCACAAAATGGGCAAAAAGGATGTGAAGATACAAATCAAAGCAGCCAGATAGAAGGGAGCATCCAAATGCCTGTTAGTGAAGAAAAAGGCAATAAAGAACATAAGGTACAAACAGTCAATGAGCAGAGTGGGGTCAGAGGTTCAGTTGATAATAAAGTAATAATGAAAGACACTGCTCCAGAGATTAACATGAAAGAAGGGGAGGAAGAACATCCACTCAATTCTGTTGTGTTATTATCAGGATTGGAAGAAGCAGCATCTTCTGACAATAATCAGATAACCGGATTAGAGTTTTCATTAAAATCTGTTGACCTGCCATCTGATGATAGAGTACCACACAGTGTAAATGATTTCAGAACTCAAGAAAGTTTAGAAGAATGTTCTATGGAACCAGCAAGTGAAATATATCTCAACCCACTGCCTACGGAACAACACACAGCTACTTCCTCTGTAGGACCTAAACTTGAAAACCAAGATGATGCTACAAGTATCATATTCAACAATCCAAATATAAATAACAGTTCTATAAATGCTTCCATTGTATCACACTTACAAACAACTGGTGTGAACAAAGACAAAGTCTCAGATATAATTGTTTCCAATGCTGAAAAGCCAGAGAAGCAGGTAATGGTAATGGGAGACCTTCAACCAGTCAACTGTAATCTGCTGCCAATACACAACAGCAACATTTTGGATGAGGTAAATGATCAGGAAAATCAGAAAACGAAGATTCGGATTGTCATTCCTGAGCAACCAAACGGTCAATCAAGAAACTTACACAACAGAAAAATAAGATAATTAGACATAAATATATTGTAATACTGATAAACAAAATACACGCATTAAAAGCGTTACTTAGTTTAGCTGATTACACTTATCAACTCAAACTCAGGCTGCATTGGTATGTTTGGCTTTCTTCCATTCTTCAAAGAGAAAAACAATCTAGTTGCAGTACAAGCACACAGAGCCAGCTTTTGAAGCTCAATTTGCTTTGCACATGGACAGTTGCTCAGCAACTGGGTTTTTATATAGAATCGTGCTATAAACACACACTGATGTCAGCTATTGCATTCATTGTTTTCATTGTAAAGCAAGTTGATTGTGAGGAGCCATTTGCACAAACTGTATTCCACCTTCACACTGTTATGATTATAAGATTGAGCAAAACAGGTACATTTCCTAGGCATCTTCACAATACTAGAAATTACAGCCATCATGCTCATTCCTTCCTTCTGTAAAAGCCTAAAAAGTGACTGTTAGCATCACAGCTAAGCCAGAATCTCTCCTCATCTGATCCAGATAGGCTTTTCTGCAGGATCAGTGGAGAGCTATCATGAGTCCGGCTGAATTTCATTTCCTTAGCTCATGGTGCACTGAAGCCAATTGTAGCAATATCTCCTAAATGACACGCCTACTGTGGTGAGATCAGCACAGATCAGACTCTGAACATGTGATATTCCTTATCTGCATTGCGGATGTCACCCAGTTCTATCTTTCTGCTTCCACCCTCAACTCCAGGACCACTGCTGTCCTGACAGACTGCCTGTCGGACATCAAGTCCTGGATGAGCGCAAATTTCCTACAGTTGAATGTGAACAAGACTGAGGCCCTCCTGATTGGCTCGGCCAGCGCCTCAGCACCTCAGGCTCTGGCAGCATCAACCTTCATGGTTGCACACTTCAACTCACCAAGCCAGTCAGGAACCTAGGTGTCTTGTTCGACCCTCAACTGTCTTTTCTTACCCACATCCAAGCCATGACCTGCTCTGCCTTCGCTCACTTCCATAACATTGCCCGATTCTGCGACTACCTCACCCCTCAGACAGCTGAAACTTTTGTTTATGCCTTCATCACCTCCAGGCTCGACTATGCAAGCTCCCTGCTTGTCGGCCTTCCCAACTCCTGCAGCCCGTGTCCTCTCCTGAACCAAACTGCGTGACCCCATCTCCCCCATTCTCGCCCAATTCCATTGGCTCCCTATCCTTCAGTGGATCCAATTCAAGATCCTGGTGCTCACCTACAAAGCTCCCCATGGCCTCGCCCCACCTCCTAACCCCCTCCAATCCGGCCTGCTCCACGTCCCCCAACCCACCCCCCCCACCATTGGCGGGAGAGCCTTCAGCCATTCTGCCCCCAACCTCTGGAATTCCATCCCCCAATCACTCTGCCTCACCCCCTCCTTAGCCTCCTTCAAGTCCTGCCTCAAGACCCTCCTCTTCGACCATGCCATTGGTCACCCCCCTTCCCCTCCCCTCCCTTATCCAGCCCTGCCCCTAGCTCGGGTCTGAAATGCTGTACACTGTCCAGCACCTTGGGACATCCTCTCAAGGTGAAAGGCGCCATACAAATGTAACCTTGTTGTTGTTGTTTAATAACATGATTTGCTGTATGTGTCCATTAGCAGAGCACCTTCTCTTTTCATAAATTACAATTTCTGCTAGAAGCAATTTAGCTCACTTATGTATCTCATATCTTTAAAATTGTACTGGAATCGGAAGAACAAATTGAGATCCTCAAGTAGCCAGCAAAATTCTAATAACTGGGCCACAAATATTAAGTAATGTTAAGTAATTCAAAGTAGTAACAACAGCTCTCACAAATTGGTAACTACACAAGGTCGTGGAAACACACAGTTTCTTTTCACCTAAAGTAGCTATTTGCAGGTTAAATTTGACTCTTTTTAAACTGTTTTATAGAAAACTGCCATAATTCTTTATAATTTAAATTACATGGATCATTTCTGTACTAATTGAGATGGGGAGGAGGGAGGCAAGGTCTGTGGAGCAAACATTAGGATGTTCCTTAAGATTGAATTCTTGTTGNAAAAAATTATATTGCAGAATTCTGCATTGAATCATTCTCTCTTTTTCCTACATCTTAAAAGTGCAAAATATTTAATAGAGAAACCGTTGTTTACACCAACATTTTATCAGTATTTTAAAAACAATGTATTTCCAGTTTTGATGAACCTTATACTTTCATAAAAAAGTGAATAACTTAAAATGTATAGTCAGATTTTTTTTTAAATGAATGCTTTGCCTGCAACAAGATAATTTTAATAAAACAGATAACATTAATTTTATTATGGATAGTATTCCTTTCAAGAACTAATAGCATTTAAGATTCAGAGGAAGAAATGTGTTATTTCTATCAAAGAGCTAATAAGAGTGCTTGGATATGCACTACTGCATGATGAAAGTCTTCATTTATTCCATTTTTGGACTCTCAGGCAGTACACACTTTTTCATAAAAATAACCTCTGGAACTCCCTCACTCTATCCCTCCATCTTGTCCATTATCTATTTGTCTTTAAATCTTCGCTTAAAACCTGCTTCTTTGAACATGCATACGGTCAATTCCTCTTGTCCACTTCCTTGCTCAAGGTCCGACCACCTCATTGACAAGAACTCCGAAACAATTTCCTGCATGAAGGATGTTATATAAATGCAAGTTGTTGTTAATGTAAGAGGAGAGAGAGCTGAGACTAGACATTGTCAATAAACTGGTAACTCTGAGTTTTCAAGCCTTTCTTTCAATGCAAGATTATACTGAGATATGGACAAATAGAGTCGAGCTTTTCCACTTTACTCAACAGGGTGTGTTTTCACAGATTATATTTTGGAGTGGTTGGGAATTGATGTGTGCTATTCATATTAGATATGCATTCTATAATGCAAGAGCACTGTACTACTGACTGACCTTAGCAAACATCATATAAACCTAGAATACACTTCACGTTTGCATTTTTCAGTGCATATTTCTAAGAAAACCTGAGGCTCGAGGTGGAATTATTCAAGTTTAAACTTGCAATATATCTAGTTCACCCCACACCTAATCTTTGCAATAAATCCTACACATACTTTTAAAAAATGAGCATTTAACCACAAATGCCAGGACTCAACAGAATGAAATGAGGACTGTGCATTAGGCAAGGAGATTCGCGAGCTTCATTGCTCCAAGCAATATAAATTATAAATAGACCTTTTACAATGGTTCACTCACCTCTGGGCATGCATTCCAACCTCTCATTAATAGTGATGATATGGGTTTGGGTATGGAATATCCAACTGGGGGTCGGATGTGATGGTAAGCCATATCTGCGGCAGCAGCAGCTAAATTTAACAAAGGACGTTGGATGAATTAAACTGAGAGACTAAAGTGGCATTACAAGAAATATATTTGGATCTGATAATATTGAAACTACATCCAATGGTCATAGCAAATAAAGATACGAACAGTATTATAAATATCATCCAATTAGGTCATCTCATTTACCTTTGTAACTTGGTAGTATATCTTTATAATTTCTTCCCTTTGACAAATTGACTGACAAAATGACTTGTGTTCAACAGTGAAGTTGATTCAAATAAACCAGATCAAAGGTAAGGTGTTTCAACTGTTCTGGTATCTGTATGTACATACCAGCTACATAGATGACTGAAAAACTTTAGTAAATATCTTTTAATGTATTTCTTTAAATAAATCAATCACAAGTATAACCAAAAGTAATCTTTTTTAAAATTTGTACAGGTATCTCCAATTCAAGTTAAAAATAAAAGCATTGTTTCACAGAGGATAAGAGGAACTATTGATTTCAAACTGATAACGCAAAAGTACAGGCCTGGTTGGATATTAATACATTGTGTCTTACCTGGTTTGAGATGAGCAAATGGAATTTCACCTGTTAGTAATTCCCAGAGGCATAAAGCATAACTGAAAACATCAGCTTTTATGGTGTAACGAGTGCACTGTGTAAACACCTCAGGGGCCATCCAGCGGAGGTTCTGTGTAGCAAGCACAAGTTTCATTCTGCCACAGTCTTCTAAACCAAAAGGTAACTGGTTTGCAATTGTCATTTTTAACATGACTTAACTATGATAAATTACTCAATGCTTTGTGTTGCTTCTACCCAAGGCACTCATTACAGATAGCAATGTTTTAAAACTAACTGTATGCTTAGTCATGTTTCTCAATGCCAGACCCTTTTGTTTTTCTTATTTACAAGTGATGTTTGTAGGCTTAGCCATTTAAGGATTTTGCCACTTGGGTATTAATGTGTGTCATAATCATTAGAGGAACACAGATAGTAGTCCCAAAAAAGGATCCCAATGCTAAATGCATACCTATATTACAGAACATTTAAAACATCTATAATTTTTTATCCATTTTTACTTGATGAGCAGGCAATATTGGTAATTGTGCTGGTATGTGTGTGTATGTTTGGGATTAATTAAGCATAAAATACAAGGGTCACTTTTGGCAAGTTGTAAAAAAATGAAAAAGTATAGGAAATAAAAAATAAAACTGAAATAAAATGTGAAAGGAAAAACACTCCAAGGGAGTGTAAGGATTTTATTTAACTCTGGCTGTGTGCATTAGTGCAAACTTAACACACCTCAAGCAAGAGAATAGAAACATTTATCTACTCCCAAGCTCACATACATTCTGAACATTAGAATGTTTTACTTACCCCTGGCTGTTTTGTCATGTTATCTTCATCCATAGATAGAAGAAATCTAGATTCTGAAAATATAAAAAAGCTTTTCAACATTTTGTGTTGTAAATTGTTTAATATATATCAACATTTAAGATTCACAGTAATAATATTTTACCTGCCAGGAGTACCCTTATAAATTTAATATACTGCACTTCAGTCATCTTTGGATTAAATCCATCAACACAGATACATTTAATCCTAACTTGAATAGTACATAGAATATCAAACCTCCAAAATCAGCAACCACAGCATGGCCATCTTCATACAGCAATATGTTATGACTGTCAGTTTGAAGAAAGGAAGAAATGTTATTCTCAGTGCAATGTGCTAAAAAATTCCTCGTATCATTTAGTTTTTTTATATAAATATTACTTTATGCGGCTGTTGTACTATTGGCACTGGTGTGATATCATTTGGCAGGTGTGTTGACAGCATACAATAAATACACTTCCATCAAGGAAAACATAACTCTATTAGGTGTACATTAGTTATTTTCTAATGTTATTGGTGTATATTAGTTATTTTCTATTAGTGTTATTATTTCAAACTTCAACAAGAATTCAAACAGTCCACAGATTGAAAGACTTTTAACATTTCAGTTTCAAAAGGTGGCTTTGCATTGGCTTTGGTTCTATCCTGGAAACGCACTGAATCAAATGTGAGTTGAACAAAGTTAAACTGGGGTTATAATTACTTTATGGCAAGAAAACAACTTTGCCGTATGGAGACACTATTCCTGTACATAGACAGTACTTTTATTTTTATGTGCTTATAAAAAGGCAACAATTCTGACATGTAGAAATTTAAATGTGGGTGTAAATAATTTTACGGTACATATCTGCTACTTTTCATTTATCTAAGGCCACTCGGATATAAAACGAAACACAGAATTTTATTTAAGAATTTTATTTAACAATAAAAAGTAATATTGACTGGTAGATTCTCAATTCTAAATGTACTTTTAAAGAATCCAAAATGAGAAAGAAAATGATAAAATATTAACAAAATTGTTTTATTTGATCAGAAAGCATAGAAAATAAATCACAGGAAAAGACCGTGGACAAGAGGTGCGACAATAAAAACGTGGATAACCAATAAGTGCTGCATGTGTTTATTCAGATTCAGATGCTTGTTTATTGATGGATGAGAGTTTAGATCTGTTACATTCGTTTGTGCCTCTGTAGTTGCTATGAGAAAGCTTGTTCAATTCTGTTGAGTGTACGCTAGTATTAACATGAACATAATTGGAGGAGGGCAAAAATTGGAGGAGGACACAAATTTCAGACAGATGAGATGAATTGAGAGTTCTGAGTGAAATAATACTGGGCGACGCCAATGCTAAAGGTTCCTTTGCATCTCCTTAATTCATGGATTGGCTACAGCCAAAAGACAACTTGACCCTAAAATTCTCTAATTTGCTACAAAATCTATTCATATCGGGCCTGCCACAATGAATCCTCAGATTCCTGGATAGGCTTTAGCCATCAGAACTGATAAGAACACTTTATAAGGTGATGACAGTGTGTCACATATTTCAGTTTTTAACTTTCTAAAGCAGGGTTTAACAAGTACACAGCTATGGTGAATGGCCACACATTAAATACCAGCTCTACAACATCCAAATAAATTTAATATATCGAGATTGACATACCTGTTGAGATCTCGATGGATAATTGGCTGAGTCAGATTATGAAGGTACTCCATACCTTTAGCCACATCAATAGCAATGATCAATTTTGATTGCAGATCAATAATCCTAAGGGTTGAAGAATGTTAAATATTATGCGAAGCAAAAAAAGGATCTAAACTAGGTGGAATCTGCAGCAAATAATGTGATTTACTGGACAATATAAGGCCTGAAATATAAAGTATGGAAATATACTCTATAGGCTGGTATTCACAGTCCTATTGTAGCATCTTATTATTCCACTCTTATAAATAATATTAATAATAAATATTGTATGCATGGGACAATGTCTTTAAAAAAAATCTTTTGGGGAAAAAAGTAGCTTCTGCTAATTTAAGGCACCGTCTTATTTTAAAAGAATGACTAAAACATTGGAAAATGGGAACACTACCTCTTTTGTTCATGTAATAGAGAGAACAGAGATCCTCCAGAGACGTATTGAGTTACTATAGCAAATTGACTTGGATCATCCAAGCAGGCACCAACAAATTGAATGACACAGGGATGGTTGAGGCGGCAAAGAATGGAGACCTCCCGACAGAACATATCAACATCAGACTTGGAACAATACGTGTTGGCTCGATATCTAACAAAATGTGAAGAAATTCAATAAATTGCGCAGAGCAATCAATGAAATTACCACTAAATAAACAAAACAAGGCTGTGTGAATCAATAGTCACAATAAAAAATGCAGACACAATAGTAAAAATTACTTGTGCTCTTTTGAAATGTTATGTCAGTTATCAAAAGATTCTAAACCTCACCTTTTAATTGCTACAATTTTATTTCTGCATCTTCCTCTGTACACTTTTCCAAAAGAGCCTAAGTATTTTGGAGGTGGGAAAAAAAAATCATTAATGTCAGACTGTTCTTTGTCATTTTAAAAATCAAACTTTCTACTATGGACTTATTGAAAGTCTTCCATTTTTACCTGATCCTATAATTTCATGAAACTCGATGTCTGAAAGTTGAAGGTGGAATTGAGAAGGAAGACCGGCTCTCAAAAGAAGAACATCAGATTTTTCTGTAAGAAAATTAGCAGAGCAGGTAATGTGATGCTGGTGTTATATTATATCTTATATAACAATACTATATTACTCAAACGTCAATTTATCTATTTCAACTTAACCATATAGTCAGTAGCAATAATTTTACATCTGAAATCTAAAGTTAAACAACGATTTATTGAAGCCATATTTCACTGCTTCAAAGTTCGAATTGTATATTGAGCAAGGCATAGGTTACAAAGTTGAAACACAATTTATATGGCATATATTTGGAAGGTTTGAAATTGCTACATTTTGTGGTGGCACAAGAGAGAAGGATTGAAGCTCTGTAAACATGACTCTTCAATTGGTGTATTACTGATACAGAAGAGTCCTGAAGCTCAGTGGTTAGAGCGCTTGCCTTGCAAGCTAGAGAACTGGGTTCGATTCCTGGCAGGGTGAAATGTTGGGCAAGTTTCCTTACGCCTCTGTTTACCTAGTAGGAATCTGGTTGTTATTTGATTGGTGGGTCACTTTTCCAGAGATAATAATCCCTCAAAAAAAATCAAAAAACAATAATAATTTGGTCACTCAATCCATGACTGTTTTTGGGACAGTGCTGTGCGCAATTAATTGGCCGCCCACAAATATACAGTCAATTCACTTTACAGTATATTCTGTGAAGCGCTTCGATACGTCTAGAAGACGTGTAAAGCGCTATATCAAATTCAAGGATTATTATTACTGTTATTTTGACCATGGCATAGCAAGGGAAGCTTGTTTAACATTGCTGGCTTTTGCTCAGGGAGTGAAAAGCAAAGGTGAGTCATTTTGACTGATGCCTGGAATTGGTGAGGTTCTAATTGTTAAAATTAATTTTTAATCGTGCTTTACTTTAAGCAAAAAAAGCACACTCATGCAAATTAGTGTACATGTAAAATATTTTACTGCATTTCATCTGCAAGAAAGAAATGGCTCTGAATCAGCATTACAGTTATATGAATTAAGTACATAACAATATCTCCTTTCTTCAAAGTTTGTCATTTTATGGAATTATGGTGTTGACCCAATTGAAATTGATGAACACATTATTTTTGATTTATCTCCCATAACAAATCTCATCAATTTGACTTGTAGAGTAATGCTTTTTGTCACCTTTGGTCATGCTTTTGATCTTTCCAAGTGGTGAGGGAACAGAGACATATGAACCATCTGTAAGAGAAACATCAAAGTTAAAGATTAACATTGATTTTACTTAAATCTAATTATCTTTATTCATGGCTCAGAAGTATGTAAAATACATTAAAATCCAATTAAAATTGTTATTAACATTACTGATCCTTATCACAATAAATCATCTCATGAAATGCAATTAATTGCCACCCACTGTTATCTAAAGGCTAGAAAAACAAACTCATGGATTTACCTCCACCTGGCTGAGAATATTCATTGCAAGGAGATTCATCTTGAGGTCTTTTATAATGTTTAAGCAAAGTTACTATCGCATCATGGCCTGGAAAAGGAATATAACATATGCACACTTCAGATTGCAAGCAATATACCTGCTTAAATCATTACATATGTTTTATATCTAAATATTACGGTGCTCTCAAACAATAACAACTTGCATTTATATAGTGCCTCTCACACAGGGTAGCATCCCAGAGAGCTTGAAAATAATATTTAGGATCTTATTGACTACCTTTTCAAAGTTTTATGTGTTATCGGTAACAAATATTGAAATCTTGAAACCCTATATTGTGCTCTAAGACACTGTCCTACATGAAGGGCAGTATATAAATATCAAGTTGTTGTATAAATTCAACTTCCACTCTTAACTGAATTCTAAATGAGAGGAAGTGGATGATGCAGGTGAGTTGGAACACTTATCCTGGTGCCTACAGTCTGAAGCAGATCAAACAGATGTAATGAACTTCTTCTTTCTCTGAAAAACCTTCCGAGTCCAAAGCAAAATTGGATTAGTCAATCTTAAACCAGCTCATGAATAAGTGTTTGCAGAAAAATCGTTTAAGGAGCAGAGTGACCTTTAAAACCAGATCTATAATAGCGCTTTAATAACAGTTCTTAAAACCACTTAAATTATTTATAACTGCTGAGTAACAGGCTAATCATATTATATATAGTGTCATGGTGAATCTAAACATAATTTTCAAGCAGAAACCTGAACAAAAACCTAACTGAAAAGCACCATGGAGGATTGTTCTGTCCCTTGCTCCATATGAGGTAGAATAACTCTCAATAGAAAATTAGTTGATCTATCCTTCTGTATTTCTAAATAACTTAATGCAATTTTGAATTATAAATAACATTTCATTAGAAATTTCAAATAAATTATTTTTGGAGTGTACAGAGATAAATCCTGCTAACAGCAAAATGAGCAGAGCAATGCTTAGCTCACAGCAACCAATTCACTGCGCGGAGTGCAGAAAGGACAATAGCTCCCTTCGAAGTTACTTTATTCCAATAAGAGCTAAATGGAAAACACATAGGTTGCAAACATTCGCAGCCGACCTACAACAGAATCGTTCAAAAATAAATAAGCAGGCAAACATTTATTTTGTTTTGGACCTTTGAAGTAAACATTCTCACATTTGAGCACATGGTGAATTGTATTATTAAACTAATTTCCTATTTGTGAGAATAGAACAAGACCTGGTGTTATTTCAGCTTTAAGTTATACAATAGTTAGCCTTCTATTGATTTTTTGGGGTGGTTATTCTTTCTGCTGGCTGATCGCAACTTCTAAGTCTATGATTTAGCCAGCTTTTTGCTTTCAAATGTTTTCTCATTTTGATAAAAGGCTCCAAGAGTCAAACAAAAGGTCAGAACAAAACATCAGCTGCCAAATAGCCTTTGCAGACATTTAGAACTTTGATTTTTTTCTTAAAAAAACTTTGTTATACATATATGTATAGATATCTATAGCAAATTTGTGAGCAAATTTGTTAGATGATCAGAGTTTCAGGCGCAAAAGAGAATTTGCAAATAGTGCATTGACTTCTGGTTTACAGATGCCATATTTTCGACTTCATTGTGTGTTAACTCATGCACCTTTCTCATAGGCCCACATCAGACAGGTTTGCTCATCCTTTTCACCGCTGGAACGACTAGGATCAGTGGCTACCAAATTCATATCAGCTCCGTTGTCTAATAAGAATTGTACAAGACGAATGTGGCCATGGTAGCAGGCACTGTGAAGACCTGATGATAAAGCAACAGTTCATTAATGTTTATCCATATCACAAAAAAAATTCTATATATTTAATCCCACTATTGGGACTGGATGCTAAATGAGAATAGGCCAGGAAAGTGCAATTTTTTTATTCCTAGCAGTCAACAAATGGAGGAAAAGGAAGGTGAGGAAGATACTGCAAAGTGACATTTCTACAATTACAAAAACATGTATCACAAACAAGATTATTTTCTTCCCTATTTCCATTCTACAATCTCCTAAACTACACACTGTATTCAACTGAGAGGAGATACTGGACAGAACCCCTTCACATCTTACCTGTATGTCCATCCCTTCCTTGGTGATTTATGCTCATGACATTTTGAGTGAGGAGAAACTTCACAAGTTCAAGATTTTTCCCATAAGTACAGGCACTGGAACCAAAAGTTGTTTCGTAAATGACAATATGACAATTATAGCTCAGCTATATTATTCGGTATGTAAAACAAATTATGGAAATGCAGTAGATGTCTTTTACAGATCCCCTCTCATACACTTCATTATATATTGCTAACCTGTGAAAAGCTGTTTCACTGAAGATATTTTCTTTTGTGAAGCTTTCTGTCCCCGATAGCTGAATCAGCTCTTTAACAACATCCAATTTACCATTGTAACAAGCCCTACGGAACAAAGGCAAGATTGCTTATTAGTACTGAATTTGAGTACACTACCAACAGACATAATTAAACTGCTAACTTACAGGTGTAGAGGTGTATCTCCATAGATATTCACTCCATGAGGCTGTACGTCAAAGTTGCCTTGTAAGAGGTACTTCACAATTTCATGATGACCAAATCGGCAAGAGAAATGAATGGGTGCGTGGTCTTCATTGTCCTGAGCATTCACTGATACATCATAAAATAACAATTAATTACTAATTTAGTTTTGTCTGTTGCTAGCAATTAACAATAACTTATAATAATTAAATATATAGCAAAAGAAGCTTATAAGAATTAAATTAAACATGTACTGCTGTTAAAAAATGCTACAGTGACACAGTGGAAAAAAATACCAGTGAATGGCACCACCACTTTAAGTGAAGGCTTGATCTGATCTACTCCACTGATTGGGGGGAAATGTCAAGTAACGACAGAGTATTTTCCAAAAGAAAGGAGATAAAATTAGAGAGGAAGGTGTTTCCAGCCCCCTCTTTCATGTTTGCCAGCGTTTGCCTCAGAAGTACTAAAAACAATTTCTTTAAACTATATCGTAAATAAAGGCTGTTTGAAAACTATATGGGGTGCAGAGATTTGGAAAGTTCATTTGGCACCGTTAAGGATGAAATACATTTAACAAAATACTTGCCAATGCTAAAAAAAGTGGATTGAATTACTTGTAATTGAATAGAATGAGACCAGTTATAGTATCAGTTAAAGAAAAAAATAGAGTCATGAATATTCATACCTCTCAGAATGGCAATGATCAAGAAATTTACGAGAGAAGCTGGGCAGTCTTGTGTCAATACACTTACATGAAATTCAAATGTTGCACTTTGAACTCTTTGTTTTAGTTTTTGTCATGCAAATGAATAATAATGTCTTAATTTCCATTTGATGTTTTGTAATTTATCAGCATGGTGTTTAATATGATCTAAGGCAATTTAATAAAAGATGTGATGCACCAAAATATGCAAGAAAACACTTGTTATAAGACATATCCATTGGGATGTTGTAGAAAGCTCGAGATCAGTTATAGAGAACTTCTGTGCTACATCCTAACACCAGATTCCATGCATAAGGGGCCACATTAGATAACACTCTTAATATAACATAAATCATCTCATGGACCTGCACAACTGTACATTCAAAATTAAATAAATCTGTGATATCTCACCATCTGCTTTGCTGTCCTCTGCCAGCAATAGTTTGACAATGTTAAGAAACCCTTTTGCACAGGCTAAATGTAGTGGTCTGTCTCCTACCTCTCCACTGGCATTTACATCTGCTCCAAACTTCAACTGCAGCTTGGTCAACTGAAACACACACACACATAATTGTGATACACAATGAAAAGTACTTTATGTTCAATGATCACAGCTCAAACATGTGCAAAAACCATAAAATGGGTGATGTTCCTCTTGTTAGCAATTTTAATGCCAATTTATAAACCTATAGAGAATAGAGATCTAAGCATTAGAATTTTCCATTCGTCAGTAACTTTACCTTTGAGGATTACAATGATGTTTCCGTTGATATATATTAAAATGGTGGTAAAGCTTTCCAGCTAGTGAGACAGAAGAACAAATTAAGAATAAGCTTTTCAGTCCAGCAAGCCTCAAAGCGCTTGACAGAATATACTGTAAAGTGAATGGACTGTATATTTGAAAGTGTGAATTCAATTTAGTTTAATCATCCTCAATTCATGAATATTTATCCAGTTTTATATTAGGAGCGAATCTAAAACATGGGATGTAAAGGGCAAAATCAGCAGGAGAATAACACCAAGACATTTGCTGCGATTGTGTTGTGAAGCATCTGAGAAGATGGATAAAGACTATAATTCCAGTAAATGGAACATTTCAAGAGAGCGTGTCATTACTTGAGAGTGGCATTAACTAATTCAACAAAACTATGCTCCACAAATAATGAAATATGAAACCACATGAATACACAATAATGAGCATGATTTCTCTAGAATTCTGCCTTTGTTAAAGATGTAAAATCTGTGTTTGGTCGTTCTTAATTAGATAGTCATTTATCTGTTTTTATCTTTGTCATTTATCTTTGATGATTTTAAATTAGCTGGTGCTTTACCTGTTCATGACCATAGTAAGCAGCAATATGTAAAGGAGTAAAGAAGACAGCATCCTGCACGTTGACATATGCTCCGTGTTGCAATAGGATGTCAACAGCCTGTGGGAAGTAACAGAAATGTAGAATAGCATAAAAAACAGAGGTGTCGAAGCTGAACTCCACTGCACATCTCTTTCAGAAGATAATGTTGCTTTCCACACAAACACATGAAATGCAGCTTTCCCTAACATCATCATATATTAATGAAGCAGTTTTTCTTTCTTATTGTGAACACCATGAAAAAATAACTATGCTGTTCCTCTCTAGAACTTTTTAGATTCACAAATAAGCATAATTTAGAAGATAAATAATGTGCAGCGAAAGACAAAAAGGAAATATTCTGTCAAATGTAATTTTAAAACCAAAAAAGATGTTAGTGTTGCACTCTAAAATGAAATAGGTTAGACACTTTGAGGGAAAATAAATGTTTTAAAGAATATATATAGAACCACAAGGAGACATATGACCGAAACATTCATTATTTACAAAAACAACATTGAAACTTGTTATTGTTGAAAGAACTTCACTATCAATTATCTTGTAAAATCGTGTTAGAGGAGGAAAAATAAAGGGGAATAAACACAATGTGACCAGATATAAATTATAAGTTTGTTGTAATTTGCAGATTGTGTCATATAATTTTCTGTTTCTTGTTACAAACAAATGTCTTACCTCATTATGGCCAGCAATAGTTGCAATGTGAAGGGCTGTGAGAGCACCATAGCCAACCTGCTGGATATCAGCTCCACCATGCAACAAGGCGGTTATCAGTTCTGCATTGGCCTGAAGTTAAATTAAATTATCAACAGTAACTCTTTTTCCATTCATCTCCTTCTCCGCAAAGCAACCATATCTCACAGGTGTCAGTGCTGAAATGACTTTGTCTCACAAGCTTGAGGGATCTATAACTTATGAGTAGTACCGACGCAAATGAGTTAATAAAGTCTTTGGCCCGAGTGAAAGAAAATCAGTAGCACAATACAATACCATGGTTTGTGCTCTGTTGTTTGGCTTCACATTTGCTCTGGAGTGTCGCCTTTTTTTTCATAAAAAAGGCAGTAGAATGTAAGGCAGATATTATAATTAGCACATGTTCTGAACATTTTTATATTATTTCACTTCTCAAAATCCACTGAAACCGATTATAATTTAATTTGCTTTCAGTTACATACATATCAAGTTGTATGGGCTACTGTTGTGTCATGGATTATAAGAACAAGCTTTCCATCCTCCCTAAACCGTATATTATTAAATGAATTATGCATTCCAGCATTTCAACAGTCTATCTCTCCAATTCACATTCGTGGTTGGGGTGCATGGAATTCTCGGTGTGATTTGGATACACTTAATTTTGGTGATGGGTTTCCGCACATGTCAGGCAACTGGCTGATCAAGAAAAAAAGTATCTAACATTATAAAAATCTTGTTTAATTACTCTGGAACAAATAAATCATGATAATAATAATAGTGCTACTACTACTAATAATAATTATAATGAAGATATTCATATACATGATGAAGTCTTCATCTGACTGACAGTGGTTTCTCATACTCACCTTGAAAACAGCTAGATGGAGAGCAGTGAATCCACTTCTTGTCAGCCTTGATGGTCGTAAGCCCTTTAGCATGAGAGTCCTGACATGCGATTTATTACCTTTTGAAGAATAATTGCATATAGGAAAAGCTGGGAATTGCATGAGCTGCAAAATCAGTCTTTAGGGAAAATGAATGTACAAAGAGAACCTATAATTCTAGTCAACATCATTACAGGCAAATTAATCTGTATTTACCAATTGATTCTAGACTGTTGGAATGGCAGTCCTTTCACAGAGGCCCCTTAATGGCTACTTACCTGCACAAATGCAACAGAGGTGAAGAAGAGACAACCCATTTTCTGTTCTGTAGTTCAAATTGACTTTACCGAAAGCTTCGTCGGAACTGGAGAGTAAAACATTTATTGGGAAAGGAACACAAAGTCACTATTTTTTACTTTGAGACGTTGAGAAGACGTGAAAAGCGCTATATCAAATGCAAGGATTATTATAATTATTATTATTATTATTATTACCACCACATTTCATACTATGGGACCTTTGCTTCAATGTTTTATTTGTGAAAAGTCTGAATTTCAAAACAAAGTAAAAAACTTTGCTTTAACTATAGGAAAGATAGAGCTTTCTTAGTTTCCGATGAGATCACAGCAGTATTATTCAGACACTTTGCTACAGTGTAATCCTTTAAAGTTAGATTTACGTTTGTTTATAAACTCAGATATCTTACTTAACCAGATTTTTAAAAGACCTATTCCTTCTAAAAAAATACACCAGACCTTTCACTGTGATGTGTTCCCTGGCCTTCTTTCTCTAACAGGGCTATTCGAATATATGTTGTATTTTTACCACAGTAATACTGTGCTAACATTGCTAATTGCCAAAAATAAATCCCTAAGATTTTACCTTGTACAGCAGATGTGATAAAACATCTGTATCACAAACTTTGGAATAACAAAAAGCTAAGAATATGTTTTGGAGTTTTACTCCCTAAGAAGCTATTTTATTCAAAATCTTTATAAAATATTATTTGAACACAGATTTTTGAAAAGGTTAACAACTTTGTGCGAAATTTCAAAAACTCAATTTTTTTTACCTGAAGACATGCGTGAGTTCTAGAAGCTCGCTTTCTTTAATACGCAAATCATCCTCCAATCTCTCGATCACCACACCATAAGATTCACTTACTTTCTTCTTCCACTCGTCTAGTTGGTTTGTAAACAAGTAATAATTAAAAGAGTATTACAAAACTGACATAATACATCAGCTGTTCAATACATTTAAATCATTTCTTTGCATGCTTAACACAAAAGAAGGCTATCCCTCCAAAATTAATATTCATAAAGTTAAATGTTCTATCTTTATGTTTCATGAAATTCAGTTGCATAAACATTGCTTTACCAGTGCAGGTCTGGTTTGGCCTAGATTTATAGTTCCCCATTTAGGTTCTTTCTTCTTCAAAATAAGTTTCTTTGTTTGAAGAAGCAGAGGCCTCACTCAGTAACAGTAAAGCGTCCTAGTTCAGTGTTGGTGCTGCTGATAAAACTGGCATCACAGTCTCAGACTAAAAATAGATGCTGTCTTAAACTGGAATGTTGGAATACAATAGCACATCACAACATAGCTAGGCTTGGGATCACGAAAATATAAGATACTCAACTCTTCAGCAATAATTAGTAAAGATACCAAATTAAAAGCATTTAAATTATATGAAAGAGAGGGAAATTAATTTAACCATTATATGTTAAAATCATATAATCACCTATAACTACTCAACCTATGATTTTGATCTCATGGTGTATGTTACATACTGTACCTATTGATTGTACTCCATCAGATACAAAAAAAAGTGTAAACAATGGCTAAAGTAGCAACTATATTACAGTGTTTATAGTAAACGAAATAGGTTAACTTTACAGCCACATACCATTCCTTGTGTGGTGAAGTGAGTTTAGCTTTAACAAAAGGTAAGATACCATGGTTAATCAATGGTGTGATTGATAATTAATTTAGTTATATAAAGTAGCTCGATGACATAACATGTGTACAGAATTAATTTGGTTGGTATCCACAAATCCAACACAATCCTGTGCCATATGATACAATTATTCCTGTTGTACAATGTCATAAAAATGGCATTTGATCCAGGAATAACCTGTGCATGCCACCTATAGGTCAAGTGCTGAAAAATACAGGACAAAAGACTTCACTGCACAGTGGTTGGTCAGAAATCTCAGGGCGAGATGGTGTCTACGTCTATTAGCCCTGAAAGACATACCTTCCCTTTCACACATCCTCAGCATTGTGCAATCTGCAATGTTGCATGTATTCTGTATTCTGCCATGATTTACAAAAGCATTTAAAATTTATACAGCTCAGTAAAAGGTGGGAAATTAAGCCCTCAGTAAAATTACTGTCTAGTTTCAGGCTTTCAATGTTCTATCAAAAGTATTATATGGTTTCAATTGAATTGTTATGTGTGCATCACATTTTCAAAAACATCTATGTTATCAGTATAAATGACCTTTGTACTCCAGTTAAAGATTTTTGGTTATAAATATCTACGATCTGAAAAGCACTGTAGTTTCTAACTCCAACTGTTGAAACATTTACTAACTAAAGAAAAAGCATTTACGCAGCAGTTATACAAGTGTTGATTCAATGTGGTTTCTGGATTCAATCGATGGTGAAAGTGTATGTAACTTCAATTTAATAGACAGCACTTGATATTGTGTGAGGTTCGAAACAATAACTCTAGACAATGCTTTCAGGATCAAATCAATTACATTGTAGTGGATTGTCCAACTACAGCCAACTTTTGCATTTATAAAGTGAAATTGGAAAGTTTCTGCATGATCTAATACATAGCTCTTAAGATTTTTAACATTACCAGAGCTCCATCTGTAGCCCCCTACTCACCTCTGTTACTCTTTGTACTGGCATTCAGTGCTGCTTTCCCAGGTAGCTGATAGTTGGTGAGAGAATTAGATGGCAATGGGGATAAGGATTATAATGAGATTTCCAACAGTATTTTAGAAAATAGAGCAGACAGACCATAATAGTCTTTTCTGGCCTTATTTGTTTTTAAGCTCCTAATTTTCTCACAAACTCATATACAGGAGATGGTGTATAATTCCAATCACGTTGAAATGCATGTTAAATGCTGTGCAATTTTGAAATGGTTCCTGCATTTTTGTGGATTCTGTTTAGGATTGATTGGAAGACTGGAAGTTAAGACTCCATTAAGCTTAATAGTTAAAAAATAGCCAAAAGCTATTTACCTTTTATGCTTCGCCACACATTTTGACAGCCTTAATGAGTAATTATATAATGGGATGCTGTTTTATATCCTAGAATTTAGATAAATGTACAGAGGGGTAAAGGGATAGGTCCTATTTTTTGGCAAAACCATATTTACAATTGAGAATTTACATCTTGTAAACTGAATATCAATATGTTGGTAGCCTGTGTTATTTGTGGAAGCAGTGACTGGATGACCTAACTAACAGTATGTTGAGCAGCTGCAAACCTTGAAACTTTCTGTGTGAAGCCTCAAGTAGAGCAAGAGTCAATGTAGTTAAAAAAGATATGTGCTCATTGATAGAATGTTTTTTTAGCCAACCAGGTGTCTGGTGAAAGCAGATTCCATTACCATGCTTAAGAGTACTCAAACCAGACTCACAGTTCCACACATGCACATTAAGTGTACATCGAAATTTCCCTCATCTGTAATGGTGTGCACACTTTCTCTACACTCTGCACTTTAGATCCAGTGACACATTGAATATTTATGAGTGCGCTTTCCCCATCTTTATTGAAACATGTGCATGTATTAATGTTTATTAGACAAACACAGCAGAAATCATTGAACACTTATTTACTGAAATTAACATTATTACAACATAAGTATTCAACAATACAATGCAATTTGCCAGAAAGCAAATGGAGAGTTGAAATAAACAAACAATAGGAAACCAATGCACTGGGGGAAAAATGAACATAAAAGGGGTAAATAACTGGCAATGAAAATCAAATATTAGTAGATAAAAATGATAATGCCACAAAAGACTAAGATGTAGGTTTTAAGGCACAACTTAATTAACTTCATAAAATGTGATTCAATTTCCATAGCAATTGCTTCAGTATTAAAAAGGTAAACAATAATCACATAAAATGTGTTGGGAAGTGGAACAAGAGAGATGTTTTTCTGTGAAGTAGAACTATTATAACCAAAAATGCTAAAAGCAGGAAGTTTATATTTTTAAATAAGTTTGTTTTAACTAAAACATTAAGGATTTTTTCAATTGTGTTTCATTATAGCACTTCATCAATTTAGAAATTATTTAGAGACCCTGCATTGAATGTTTAATCTATTTAGATTTTCAAAGAAAATAAAAATTAAAATAAGTCATTGTCCATAACTACTGAAAATAATAATATTCCTGCTTTAAACATCTTTGTTTTCTTTTTATTGACCTTCTAACAAAACATTTCATAACAGTATTAGATATTTTAATTGATTTCCCCAGTGTGTTTTAACTGATTAATTTCCTCAATGAGCTTCTCTCGGAAACTCAGCATTGCTTCAACGTCCTTGTGGTGAAGTATTTCCTTAATGGATAACAATTTAAGATCCTTGGCAAAATGATGGAATGAATTTTTATGCAGCGCTTCTTGCATCTTCAGAACCATGGAGGCCGACTCAGACAAACTGTCGCACGCTGGGAAAAGTTTAGCACTCCACAGACTCAAACTACTTTTGTTTCCCGAGAAGAGTTCTTCTGAAACAGTTAAACCAAAATGTTTAATGCAATCTTTGAAATTCCTACCAAACAACTGAAGTTTATTGATGTCTGATAGAGACATCACAGTTTTCTTCAGATTGTCTTCAATTCCAAACATTACAGTTACAAAAGCAGGTGCATTGTCTATCTTGACACTCAGGGAATGCATCAACATGTTGGCTGGTATCATTGATTTTCCTTTTATGAAGCATCCACTAATTATGGTGTTTGCACCTACAGAGGTATCTGCCCCCACTCTGGAATATTCAATCACTGTGCCTGGTGCAATTTCACAACCAGGTTCTACAATGCTCTGAATAATACAATGAATCACACCTTTCTCTTCAGCACTGATCTGGTTGATTCTGGAAGCATTCGAAAGTATTCCAAGCTCAGCTTTGAGCTTCCTGTCTGTGGTCAAATTGAACAAATATTCTTGGGTGGTCCCAATGTGGTAGAATTTTGAATTGTTCAACGCAATCACATTTAGTGGTGTTCCTTGGAGATAGAAAAATATCTTTTTCCTAATTTGAACAAGCCTGGCCTCCTCCTTGCTGACATTAGCTGTATTTTTGGTGTACTCCTGTGTTGCATCTGGTCCAAGTGCTTGTAGGAAGTCACCATATGCATCTATTTCACAGCTGATGGGGTCAATTTCTTTTAATAACATCAAGAGATGTTTAGCCGTTGCGCGATCAAAGTAAAAGGTACTATCGGTGTAAACTAAGTCTAACATTGAAGAATCACCACTATTTTGAATTGGCGGAAATTTATTGTGTTTTCTGCAGACTGCCCCTGCCTCATACATCTTTTCTATGCTCGGTTTGTGCAGAAAGTTGCGACATAATTTATATTCTAGCTCTTGATCTTTTACTTCAAGTGGCTCCAAAACAAAAACGCCATGTGTAGTTCCAATTGAAAGAGGAGAAGGATGGGCAAGTGCGGTAAAGCCAGTTCTGTCAAACTTAATGACTTCAGTCTCTTCCACACTGTACATTTCAATGTCATCTGCACAGGTCACCAATACCCCAGGTTTCATGTAGGCTGGAAAGTCAACGTACATTGCTAGTTTGAGTTCCAGCATTTGATAAATGGGGTCACCTAAAGGCAGAGCTGTGAAGATTTTCCCCAATGCACTTGCAGTGGGCAAGCGTTGGCTATAACCTCCTATAAGGTAAAAAGAAATAAATGTATCATAACATGAAAATGAAAAGCATCCTTAATGTACAGTTATACTTTTAAAAGAGTCAAATGATTAAAACTAAATAATTCATTGAAATGCAAGGAATTTTGTTTCTATTTACCAGCATGAATGAGAAGGACAGTAAAGTCATCTAATTTGTCTTCATAAAGCTCTTCTAATCGTTTAAGGGCGAAAAGTGTGGATCCTCCATTTCCTATTCAAAGACACATCAATGAATGGTACTGCACAACATTTTTCAGTTCTTACTTTTAATATAGATAAATCATTATCCAACAAGTAATATTCTGATATAGATATCATGTTTCATTGATGTTCTTTTCTATACCAAAATAGGAGTCTACAACATACTTAATGGATTGTTCTTTTACAAAAATTCTTGCCTTAAGTTCTAACCAGTTAAGTCGAACAAAGTTTACACCTGTCCATTAGTTTATATTGTTTATATTGTTCCTCAGGATTAAATAACATAGTATTCATTCTCCTCTTGATTTTTGTAAGAAAGCATTCTAATCCAGATGGAGTTCTATAGAACCACCTAATTATTTAGTAGCTGTTATTTAGTGTTGGTTTTGAGGTTAAACAATATCCAATGGAGTACAGTGCTGTACTGTACAGTGGTGAACACATAAACAACAAACAGTAATACACAGGTTGGAGTCACTTGAAAAATCTATATTAAGCAAATCAAAGGCTGGAATACTTTCAGATTTTAATAACCAGTAGCAAAACTGTATTTCCCCAAAAATCTAAACTACTTCATACTTCACCACATTTATCACCAACCTCATTGAGGTTTCTCAGGTACTGAAAGTTCAGTACCCTGTACATGTTGCGATTCTTTAGAGTGCAAATATCATTAGTTTGGTACATAAAAGACTTGCCTATTTTGGGCCCTACAGGGTCAGCAAACACATGGTACCTAACACCAAGTGGAAGCTCTTTCCTTTCTAATTTCTTGGTAATTTGTTGCTTGTACACTAGCTCCTGACTTGCATCAGCAGCTGTAATGACGACAACATTCCAGAATTCCCCAGTTTTCACTTCTTTTCCTGAACAAGAGAAACAAAACTGTTAACTTGTGTAAATCTAGGAAGTACATCAAACAGATACCTGCATTAATATTGTAACACACTGTCATTAATGAAATCACTCCCACGTGGGTGGGAGGTGCCTGCAATGTACCAGAGAGGAAGGCGGAGGGTGAGGGATATAAAATAAGAAGATTCACTCAGTCTCTTAGTTTGGACTGCAGAAAAGAGGATTTCTGGCTCTACTGAATCGGGAAGATAAAGGAAAGCTGAGGCCTAGCCACATGGACACGTCAGGGCTGTTGTGGAGAAGGTACCACAGCTATGGAGCCTGGTTTTTGGGAGACTGTGAGTACCTGAAAGCGGAGTGGAAACCACGACTGAGAGCAGGCCACGGACAGGACATTAACCCTGGTGCCTGCACCCTTCCAGGTCTGTAAAGAAGTAGCAAGAGTCATCTGTCTCTATTGATTAAAGCGCTCCGAGACCGGCCCGAGTGAAGGGCATGAAGGGAGCTGCATAAAATTCAAGTTGTTGTTGTATTGGGCCACCGAGGCAAAAAGATCAGCTCGACACACAGTTCAGCGCACTGCTCGACTGTTCACAAGACCACAAAATTGTTCAATCACAAGACGGTTCGCAAGAGGGGAACCACCAATGCTGGTGCACCGAGTTAGATAGTCACTTGGGTAAGCACTAAAAGGTATGCGCTGCCGGGCGGAACTGGCGGCCGCGTTTCGCCCGCAAAAACAGTCACTTCACTTTACAGCATATCCCGCGAAGCGCTTTTGAGACGTCTAGAAGACGTGAAAAGCGCGATATCAAAACGCAAGGATAATAACACACGACGCGCCGCCGGGCGCAATGGGCTGCCGCGTTTCGCCCACGAAGTGCGGTCCATCCGCTCCACGTCGCGGTACATCCCGCCAAGCGCTTGGGAGACGTCGCGAAGACGGGATCAGGCCCGAGATATGAAATGCTAGGATTGTAATCAGAATCAGTATAACATGTAAACAGCGGCCCCCGCCAGACGTCTGTCTGCACACGTGTAACTTGTTGCTCTTGTTGTTGTTGTTGTATGGTGACGAGGGGATTGGGATTGTAAAATCTGCCGCGGTGTAACCAGTCGGTGTGGAGGCTGACACCACTCTTCCTGTTCTCCTATGTTCAGGTGTAACTGACTACAGGTTATTTTTGTGTGTGTGTGTGTGGGGGGGGGGGGGGGGCGTTAAACGGGGTCAAGTCAGCTCAGCCCTTGACCATGACCCGAGGTCGCCGTCTGAGGCCCTGTGTCAGGCAGAGGCCCGGCCCCGGCCCTGACTGTCACTGACTCGGGCTGACAGCTGTCAGAAAAAAAAGGGGGAAGGCCCGGGCCACCGACTGAAGGCGATGCGGGGGAGGGGGAGGGGGAGGGCATCGTTAAAGAGGCTTTCGTTCTCTGCTGAGAGAGATCCAATCCCACCCCGACACCTGGCGAGGGTTCAGAGACCGCGGACACCCTCCACCAACCCTCCCTCCCTCCCTCTCCCCCCCCCCACACCACTGGGCTCGGGCACCTCGAATCTTCTGGAAGGTGTTGAGCCGCCGGCGGCTCGCGCTTCGCAGCCGCTCGTCATCCATTGTCAGACAGGAGGGAGGGAAGGAGAGAGAGAGGGAGGGAGGGAGGGAAGGAGAGAAAAAGAGGGAGGGAGGGAAGGAGAGAGAGAGAGAGGGAGGGAGGGAGGGAGAGAAAGAGGAAGGAGTTGAAGCAAGTTCCCTCCCTCCCTCCTCTCCCTCTCTAAAAACTTTTCACAACAGTTTCATTTATTTCTTCTTCCATTTCAAATAAACTTTTTAAAAAGATAAATAAATATAAACACACACACATATATATATATATATATATAGATATATATATGTATATAGATATGAATATAAATATATCTATCTATTCATATATGTATATATATAAAGAAAGAAACCGGTCCCACGGCGAAGAGATTGTTGAAATGATCGCCGGGCCGGTGGGGGGGGGGAGAGGGTGGTGTTGGCTGTTGCCATAGTAACCAGGGACATGGTGGCTGCTGCTGTCTCTCCTCTCTCTTCTCCTCTTGTCTCTCTCACGCTCTCTCTCTCTCTCCCTCTCTCTCTCTCATTTGCCGGGGAAGCGACTCCATCGCTGCGACGAAGCACGGAGCGAGCTCCAGGCTGTCAGGTTGGTCTGCAGTCACTGGGTGGCTGGCGAGAAATGTCAATACGCCATTCTTCGCGAAGCTGGGGGGTGGGGGGGGGGAGGGGTGAGGGTAGGGGGTGAGGTAAGAGGGGGGTGAGGATGGGGGGGGGGGTGAGGGAGGGTGAGGGTAGAGGGGGGAGTGAGGATTGGGGAGTGAGGGTGTGGGGGGGGGTGAGGATTGGGGGTGAGGGTGAGGGAGGTGTGGTGGGAGTGAGGGAGGGGTGGGTAGGGGTGAGGGTAGAGGAGGGAGTGAGGATTGGGGAATGAGGGTGTGGGGGGGTGAGGATTGGGGGGTGAGGATTGGGGGTGAGGGTGAGGGGGTGTGGGGGGGGTGAGGGTAGAGGAGGGAGTGAGGATTCGGGGGTGAGGGTGTGTGGGGGGTGAGGATTGGGGGGTGAGGGTGAAGGAGGGTGTGGGTAGGGTGTAGGTACGGGGTGAGGGTAGAGGAGGGAGTGAGGATTGGGGAATGAGGGTGTGTGGGGGGGTGAGGATTGGGGGTGAGGGTGGGGGGGGTGAGGGTGAGGGAGGGGTGGGTAGAGGAGGGAGTGAGGATTGGGGGTGAGGTAAGAGGGGGTGAGGATTGGGGGTGAGGGTGGGGGGTGAGGATTGGGGGTGAGGGTGAAGGTAGGGGGTGAGGGTAGAGGGGGGGTGAGGATTGGGGGGTGAGGGTGGGGGGTGAGGATTGGGGTGAGGGTGAGTGAGCGTGGGGTGAGGGTAGGGGTGGAGTGAGGATTGGGGGGTGAGGGTGAGGGGAGTGAGGTAAGGGGGTGAGGGTGGGGAATGAGGTCGGGGGGGTGAGGGTGGGGGATGAGGTAAGGGGGGTGAGGGTGGCGGGTTGAGGTAAGGGTGAGGTGGGTTGCTGAGGTGAGTGATGGGGGCTGGGGTAGGGAATGGGTGGGGTGAGGAGGGGTAAGGTGGGAGGATGGGAGCAGTGAGGTGGGAGAACAGGGGGTTGAAGTGGGGGTAGGGGGAGTGAGGAGGGGCGTGGGGGGATGATGTGCAGGTGGGGGAGTCGTTTTTTGGATCCTGACCTTTTTTATCAAACGTTTTTGCAACTTTTTTTAAAAAAAATTATCTATTTATATATGTGTCTTTTTAAAATTTAAAACAGAGTGCACCGCACCGCAGCAGAAAGGGTGCTTGTGGGGTGGTGGGGGATACTCTCGCGAGGCTATATATTCGGGGGTAAATTTGGCAGAAGAAAGAATATATTAAAAGATAGTCAGCAATGGGACACTGCTGTGCGCAATTAACTGGTGTTTCGTCCACAAAAAAGTCAATTCACTTTACAGTATATTCTGTGAAGCGCTTTAAGACGTCTCGAAGACATGATTATGCACTATATCAAATACAAGGATTATTATGTTATGTGTAGATGTAAAGAAGAATGAGCCCCCCCCCCCCCCAATCACCTGTGCATCAAAGTGATAGGCTTTTGAACCATCGCTACATGGGTCAGTTTGTATTTTATTTGGGTCAGCCGGGTGTCTTGACACATGCTGATACCTATCACATTGCTTAAGAGTCTCCAAACCAAACTGAGAATTCCAAGCATCCCACCTACACTTGTCAGCTTGTAGTCTATACCTTATTTTATATACCTTATCCCCCTCCATTAACACGGGCTTGCTGTGAATACTCTGCTTCCGCTCTCTCCATGTCTCCATTGATGGCAGAGCCTTCAGATTCTGCACCTAATCTCTGGCACGATTTGAACATACCTATGGTCAACTCCTCCTTTTCCCTTCTACTCTGCTTGGGTGTCCAACTCCGTCCTTGTAAAGCATTTGAATGGTATTTTACATGAAGAGAACGTATAAATAAATGTAAATTGTTTTATTATCAATAATAATAATTATTCATAGACTTACACAATACAGAAGGAGGCTATTCAGCCCATTGCATTTGATATAGGACCTTACCACATCTTTAAAATGTTTCAAAGTGCTTCATAGGATTTTGACTGTGTATTCATAGGCAAACATATGAACTGCAATTTTCATGGAGTGTGTTTTATTGGTTTGTTTCGCTTTCTGTTTTCCCTGCATTAGCTCTATGGATTGTGAGAATCCCATACTGCTGATGTCTGCTGAAGTCCATACTGAAGGAACAAATCACTTACCAGTTAACAAGGTAATTGCTAGGAATGTGAGTAGAGGTTTGGCAGTCGTCTGCCCCAGAGAAACCTGCGGGTACAGATGCAACATCTTTATACCAGAAAATAAAACATTTATTTGTGAGTCCAAACGGATAAATGTTTGGATGCAGCACATTCATGGAGCTATTATTATGCCATTTCCTTTTCCAACCAGTCAAAATCATGCCAAATCACTAGGTGGCACTGTATTGTTAGTTTACTCACAATGCTGTCACAGTAATTCTTGTTCAACAGTGTATGTATATGAACAAAAAAGTAACATTATTGGCAATGGAGGAAGAACAATGTATAGCTAGCCGACTGTTTCTAAAGCTCAAAAATGACACATATACTTGTGTCAATATTTCAAATAATTTTACCAATAAGTTGTGTAGTCATTCTACAAAACTGTAATAACTAGTTTTTCTTATGAACAAAATGTACACATTAAAGCAGAAGGAGTTGATTGGAAATAAATATTCTCTTTCAGTCAAGGCAATTCTACCAAACTCCTAGAAGAGTGCTAAATAAAATGCAACTGTTATTCGCATAGGAAACCGAAGCATGTGTGATGGCATCTTCTAGTACAACGGTATGCTATGTCCTTTTTATTTTTGTCATTCTATTAACACAATGACTTATCCAGTAAGAAGGTTTTTTTTGTCATTTAAAAAAATTATACATATGTTGTCATTCTGACAGTGAAGGTCAGTTTAGCTCCTGAACAGAAGATTCTTATTTTACACATTGTAAAGGTGTGTTTATTTCTATAATTGCAATTGGTAATCCCTGAATATGAAACACATATGTTTTTAAATGCATCACAGATTAAAACGATTCTCAAAAATGTTTCGAAGGTATTAATTTTGTTAAAATCCAGTTTATGAAATTCTCCAGTACATGAAACTATCCGATGATTGAGGCTGAAAGTTATGGAGGGAAGGGACTATTTTGAGTTCATAACCTTTAGCAGAGCTAGCAGAAATTATTGAGTAATCAGTGATCTGGTTATTGGTATTGTCTGGTTTGGGGGTTTAATTTTAAAATAAGAATTTCGCATTTTATTCCTGAACTCGTACTTTTCCCTCATAATGATGTTTTAGTAAAGCCAATCTAAAGGTGTAAATTTGGACAGGATATTTTGCTAATTATTTTGCAAATATGTTTGGCAAAAATTTACAAATATAAGTTTTTAAAATGAATGTAAGATCCACCATTAGTTTTAGTAGCAATGAATAAATAATGTGTTTCAATGAACAGTAATGTATTGTATAATTCTGGTAGTCATTAGATTTAATGACTATGATGTGCAAGCAATTGATGATATCAGTTTGTACAATACTCTGCACATATTGCTGTTGCACCATCTTTTTGTTGCATTTCCCCTCACGCATCTCCATGACTGACATTTATATTCCATATTGATACACATGAAATATACAGACAAACTGTTGCTAGAGACAACAGTTTCTTGTCTTTCCTGAAATCAGCTAACCTTCCACGAGACAATGTATGTTGCTAATTGAGTGAGGTTAATAGCAAAGATACAGTACAATAATCAGCTGCAATTATTTATCAGTTTTTCTGTCATATGACAGTGATTCTCCATGATTCTCCATGATTTTACCAAATTTCCAGGCATACTGACAAGCAGTTGCAGGTTTTTGTTGGCAGACATTTCAGTTTCTGGCACATTTCTTGTTTACTCCTGCTGGAAACAACAGCTAAATCGCCATTTCTAAATATCTGTGGCATTGACTTTATGATTTATGGCAGAAAGGAGATGTGGCTGATTTATAGTTGCCACGGAGGAAGAACTTTAGCATTTTCTGAAGGGAGAGAACAATAAAAGTAAAAATTAAATCACTGTGGTGAGGCCTGGAACAGCTGGTTTTATGCACATCCTTGTTTATTAGTATTCAGATAACATTTGAGTGACAAGCCAGATGTTCCACTTATTCTCCCTTTTTGAATAGCTATTACCGAGCTTTGGCAATACTGACACAAGAGGTAAGAGCTAGAATCAAAAATCTATTGACGGTTACATTTTTACCACTATCACAAACAAATGGTTATAATGTGACTCCTAGTTATTGTCATATGAAAATAAATCCTAAAGTTTTTTTCATAAAAGGTTATGTAAAGTAGAGAATTGTATGGTATTGTTTGAACTTTGCTACTGTCAAAGCAGAACCTCAGTGTTTTTTACTGATGGCGTACTTAGCTAACCTAGCAACCTAGCTAACAGCTTGACCAAATCATGGAATCAGCATCTTACAAATCTCAGCTCAGAATTCAAACCTTCCACTAACTTGCTACAGTTGTATGTTTCCTGACCTGCTATACCTTTACTTGAAAATCCTGAAGCTATATTTTAATTGGATACATGAATGAATTAGACAAGGAACATATGAACTGATTGCGATTAAGAAACCACTCTAAAGCTTAAAATAATGACTTCAACAATCATATTATGGTATCAGCCTGGCTCAGTTGGTATCACTCTTGTTTCTGAGTTAGAAGGTTGTACGTTTAGCCCCACTTCAGGACTGTTAGCTACTCTTTGATATTTTTATGCATTTTTTCAAGAAATGAATGTCTTCAAAGTTGTACAACAAAATGTATCTAATATGACAATAAAAGTTGTATTTTAAGAGAAACATAGAAGAGGGGGGAGTACTTCATATGAAAAATGCACCACACAGTGTTTCCCTCCTTTATCCATAATTTAAATAGCATTCTTTTCTTTTTAGGATTTCCTCCTGTATCCTTCAAAATCTTTTATACTTGCTCATGGGCAGACAGATGATGAGAGCAAAGACAAGAACCTGGAAAACATTGTTATGGTTAGATTGACTGGACAATCTCTAATTAATATGGAATACTTGAAGTATTGTACTGCCCTGAAGATTTGCATAATGCCCAAGTGTAGTATTACTGATATTGATGCCCTTGCAAGTTGTCCACGTTTATTGAAATTGGATCTCCATGGAAACCATGTAAGTAATGTAAATTGTTCTCACTGTGTAATTGATATTGCACATTTTAAACATGGTTGTGTTTTGAATCCTAATTATCTATTGTAGGGATCCAGGTACCATAAGCCTAACTGCAAGAACTACTAAAAGAATCTTGTTGCATACCCTAAAGTGGGAACTGAGTAAAAGGATTAAATGTGTGATGAATTATGTTCCTAGATGTGCCATATGAAGAGATACTGAGTTGAAGGAAGAAACTTGCAGGACAAAGCAATTTAGGCTGCTTTCAGGCATATGCAGAACTGGAAGAGGTCAACTAACTTGTCTGCTGTCTGCCCTGTCAGTAAAATTAAATTACTTGTAAAATGCAGAAGAAACTAATCAACCATGCATAAAGAATAATTCCCAGTAAAACTAGTAACAACTATAGTAAGAATCAGCCCGGAAAATTGGCTTTTAATGTTTGTTTAAGTCACATTGGATTGCTAAATAGCAGGTTACTGGATTAAGTAATGCAACAAAACATCTGTAAATTAGCAAGTCCACTGGATGCTTTGGCCCCAAAGGTTGGTTCACATCTACTAACCTTGTTAACTGCATTCATCAACTACGTGATGATTATCATTGATAATTAGTATATTACACCTTACAAATTTCACCCCATATTAAGTGTACAATTTTTGTACATTGTACATTTGTATATTGATCAGTGTTATTGTGTTTTAAAAGAATACAATAGCAAAATGTTTGTGTATATGTCTCAATTATATTGGATTTCTACAGTATTGAAATTAAGTCAGGTATTGCTTCTATTTCTAACATTTATTGCTATTAAACTAATGTTTGATCTGGCAAAATGCAATCTGTCTTTTGCATGAATATATTTATCGTAGAGGATCCTGAGGATCCACAGATCAAAGGTCACCAGGTGGCAGAATAGTTTGGAAGTTTTGAGATTTGCATCTTAGTAGGGAAGGGGGACACTGCCTTAGGGTTCCAATCTCTATATAAAATCATAAATGTAGTTCTGGGATTAGTTTATCTGCCCACCCATAAAGAATGTCCACATTAATCATAAATCCCCTGCTGCCTTCAGCAGGCAGCAAAAATAGAAAACACAGTTGTCTTTTTTGTAACAAAGGTCAGTTTAATTGTGTATTATGTAGCTCATCTTTTAGAATTAATATACCACAGAAATCGTTACACTATCCCAATAAAAACTGGTGACCTTATACATTTTCAATTTCCATATTTCAAACACCTATCCATTATATATGTAATTATTATTTGGCATCCTATTTGCAGCAAGTAAATTATCTTCAAGTATCTGATGTGAAGTACAAACATTGGCATGGACTGGTTGGGCTGAATGGCCTGTTAGCGTACAGTACAGGCTTTGTAAATCTCAATAGGAAGTCAGTTGAGTTTAGAAAAACCTGGCTGTGTTGCATATAGTTCATCAAGAAAAATTACTTTGCTGGGCAAGAAAAATCTGACTAATGTTTAAGGCTTTTTCAGATTTCACCATTATAATCATATGGCTTCTTTTTTGAAATACAATCTATGATTTAGAAATAATAATTCAAACTTTTTAAATTTATCTTTGCCTTGTCAGATTAATCTTCTTCCAGATCAACCATTTTGGGCCGAAATGAAGTGTTTGCACCTGCTATATCTCCATGACAACATCATTAGCAGCCTGAAGAATATTCGCTTCCTGTCTTGCTGCCCAAACCTTATTGCTTTAACCATGTTTGATACACCATTGAGTTTAAAACGGAAATATCGGCATTATGTGGTCAACAATATAATATCTCTCAAAGCCTTGGACAATTTTGTCATCGCGGATGAAGAAATTATTGAGGACTGGCCAAGGAATAATACATTCCAAGCTTTGACACCTCGCTTCTTTGTTAATCTTTCAAGAACTAAAAAGGTTGGCCATTTATTCATATAAGTGAAAGAAACTGTGTTATTGGAAATGTATGGATATTTGATGTGGAATGACACAACTCAGGATTTTTTTTTCACTTGCTCTTAAGTTCAGTGTCCAATATTCATGATATATACTTATACTGGTGCTTTTTTTTAACATTATAAGCACATCAAAGGTGCTACAGTAATGTGTTTCATATTATGAATCTGCATTTGTCTTAACCTTAACAGCATCTCTTTAGGCCCATCCTGGATGGCAGTATTTTGGGTGGTTAGGTGATTTAGTTAAAGATCTAGAAGAATAAAGTAGAAGAATTAAAAAGTCCACTTCATGGACTTTTTAATTCTGTAGGGAATTTCACCTCTGTAACGGTTCTTTAATTAATTCGGAATGTTTCGTTATGGATTTTATTAGAATATTTTAGTTTTATTTGAATAAAATCGTACCTTGTGTTTTCTATGTCACAGTGCTCAACATTTCACGAAGAAATGAAACAAATTAAGAATCTGATTGCAACCATCAACTGCATTCTTGCTCATAATTCACCGGTACTCATCATTCAACGATGGAATCGGGGATACTTAACAAGAAAAATGCTAGGGTATTTATCAACTATATATATTCTTGTTCATGAGTTGCATGTATTACATGAGATTCTATAAAATGAATGGAATTTTCACTTGACTTTTCTGGTACTATATTGCATGAACCAGTTTTTTGGCGTTTCATCATAAACATAGGTACTTTCTGTTCTTTTAATGGATCATAAACAATCCTCACATTTGATAAAGTGCCACATCATGAGGATGTCTCATTAAACGTCCTATCATTTAAACACAAGAATTCCTTGATTCTATTATAATTAAAGTTTTAAAATATCTTTATTTCTTGTATAATTGATACTCACTCTAGCCTAAAGGAAAAATCCTCCTTCTGGACTTCCCTTCTCCTTCAAATATTTGTTAATGTTAGTTAATCTATCAGTACATAAAAACTAGATATTCTCCCAATTGGTTACTGAGATACCCGATTACTTATTTTTTATTTTTTTCACTTTACTGAAGAAAAGTTCCTTCAATTTCACCTGATCGACAAAGATTACAGTTTATTCAAAAGCTCAGACGGGTGTACACCCAAAGAAGTCGTTCACCAGAAAATAGGAAAACAGGAATACAGCATTATATTGAGCAGTGCATAAAGGAATCGTGCCTTGAATCTTGTCCAGTGGTAAAGTATAACATTTTCTTGGGAAAGCTGCTTATCATTTATTCTTCTGTTTTTATATACACAATACAATGAATTCTATACAGCTTTCCTTTTAACTTGCATCATAATCTTTGACTTTTGTCCATTTTTACTTGAACAATAATTTATTTCTAGTATTACTAACGCTAGATTTTACATACATGAATAAATGTAATTATTGTATGCTAGGCTTCAGATCACTACACTGAGGAATTCAATATGGCTGGACTTCAAATAGACCGAAACAAGCTGCAGGAAGGGATTTTAGAGGTGAGCTTAATTATTGACATTTCTACTAAAGATGTGTTATATAAAATGTGTTTTATATAAATGTTGCGACTGTTGAGGGCATTTTATTGTTAAATAGATTGCAAATAACACATTTTACGAAACTTAAAAGTTATTCTTTAGGTTTGCTCTTTCAATTATATTTCTCAATTTCTGTATCTCAAATAAAATTTCTGTTTTGAAACCAGTGATAAAAAACGATGCATAGTTATTTTTGGAGACCTTTATGCGAAGCTGCTTGAAAGCATGGTGGGTAAATACTCTGCATATGTGGTACTGGCAGGAAAGGTCTTGGGGTTTATTCCCTGATGTGCACCATTTTAACCAGTAAAAGGATAGTTATTACTTATTGATATTACAAGGGAAAAAAACTGGCAGGTTTTCTTAGTTACTAGTGAGGGCTGTCTACTAAAAGTGAAAGCATGAAGATATTGAATGAGAGTGGGATTGGTTTGAGTGGTATTGTCCATCATGATTGAATAGCTAGCTAACAATCACAGTTTGTGCTCACATATGAAGAGTGGCCTGTCATACCAAGAGTGGTTTAAATTATAGCAAACAACGGTTGCCAGCTTTAGAAGCGAAAGTGTAAGTTAGCAAAATGGGAAGGGGAAATTCGAAGAAGATTTCTGTTAATGCAAAGGTTATTGGTAAAGCAAATCCATTCTAACCACACATCATCAAGTTTGTCCTGGAAGTCATTTCACATTTGAACATGGCCATAGTCTATTTCTTTGCTCAATTTATACAATTTAACAAACTAAAAGCTCTTTTTTTTAGCAATCCAGAAGCAAGTTTAATTTTTATTAAATTGTGGTTTGTTTGTTAGGATTTATGTGAAGCTAAAGATCTAACATCTGGTACTTATCCACACATTGCAAAATGGAAGAGGCGTTCCACCCTAAAACAATCATTTCAGGACTACAGAATTTTAAGGAATTGGAAAACTAAACGGCACACATTAAATTCACCAGAACCAGGTAAAGTGGGAAACCTGTCATCCTATCAGGACTTCCAATTGCTGTACAATTTAGGAGCAATAACGATTGCAGTGGCTAACCTCCACAATTGCCCTGTGAATGCTGTTATTCTGCTGGTGACTTCTTCACAGATAGGGTTGATGGTCATAACTGACATGCTGATGTTAATGTACAATACTCACAAGTGCTTTTATCCTCCGATGCATTTTTTGGGAGTGCAATAAGCCAAAAAACATTTTCCCTTATCTAATGTTGCTTGTGGGGGTACCAGAGGAGCTGCAAATTGGAATGATCAGCCTTGATATACTCAGAGCAAGTATATTATATTTCCACATGTGGAAATGTAAGGTTAAAATATTCACAGAAACCACACATTTACAATTAATTTTACTCTCAAGAAAAACACAATTGGGGCTGATTGCAGCATAAGATGAGGAACCCCTGAAGACAAATGTATTGACTTCACTCTTTACCATTTATCTTTGATGAGCTGGGCATTTTGGTATTTTGCTTGAGATGGCAATATCTTCATTCAAGCACTGCTGTGTGATTTTATAATGTGATGCAAATATTGTCACTTTGCCAAACATTTCGTAAAGACATCGGCAATCCAAGTTTGTCCTCGAAGGACCCCATGTGGTTAGTCTACTTTCAGTGAATATATAAATATTTTGATTTGGTAAAGCTCCTTTGTGTACTTGTCTTTCTTGTTTTTGCAACTCTGCATCCTAGAATTGAATTAAAGCTACTTATTAAATATGTCAAATCAACAACTTTTATATATTGTTTTATTGTGATTTTTTTAATATTCCAACCTGCATTCAATCCCTAATGTAGTGTATACATGGATTATAAATGGATTGTTGACAGCTTATTGATTATTGTGTTTCAAATAAAATGTATTTGATTGTAACCAAAGTGTAGTTGTTCAATGTTTGATCAACTGCATGCTGAAAATATGTCTTGAACTGCTGTGGAGGCATAATGCGAACACCAGTTCATAACGTTTTGAGCTGCTCATAGGGAGTGAGGCCTTATGTCTGCTATGCACTCTCTTTCATCATACAGCACCCAGGATTTCGGGTTCTGGTGCCAGCAGTAAACTTGAACCTGTTTATGATGTCAACTGAAACTGTGATTGTATTATTGTCTTGTAATTCACTGACATCCATGCTGTGCTTTCAGAAAGATCCTTTTGTATTTAAATGTTATGTATTTTGCACACAGATGTGTCTGACTTTCTGAAACTCATTGAGGAGGAAGCGAAAGAACGGGAAGAGCTTGCCTTCCAGCATTCCAAATTCCAGCCTACTTTTCAAAGGCCATATCGTGTGAGTGATTGGTTATTATCTCGCCGTAAGATTGGCAGAGAGATGCGTATGGATACTGAGCACATCCGTTTGATGCTCCGTAACCTACCAAAGCCAAAATTTACTTATCAACCACCAGTAGCTCTAGATAGTAAATTATTTGCAAAATCATATGGCTGTATGAGTTTTGAACCATTTGTGACTATTCAGAAAGCTTACAACCTCAAGGAGAAAGCAGTGAAACAGGCTTTGAAAAAGGACTGGGTGCTGGAGGTTCGTACTGTCAACGATGAACTAAGGAGCCAGGTTCATCAGAAACATTTGGAGAAATGTAACAATATTTTGCTAAAGCGTAAGAAAGAACAAATATCAACTGAAGATCGCTTACAACAACGTGAAATAAAAAATGCAGAATCATTAATGGTACTTCATCAGAGGAAGGCTGGGTTCCTTAAAGAAAAGAATCAACGAGCTTCAGAGTATAAGTTAGCAAAGGATTTTAATGCCTATTATTCATCAATGTCAAAAGCCTTCCAGAAGCATGAAAGATGGCTGAGATATGAAAATATCCTTCATGACAGGATTGACGTGGTGCATAGCTTAAGGAATAAAGCAGAACAACAAAGGGGAATTATGAAAAAAATGTTGAAACACAAGTAAGTTCAAAGATATTTTGTTCATTGTTCATCTGTAAAAGAAGTTGAGATGCGAGATTCACCTGCATGTCAGCCAGTAGAATTCTGCCAATGAGTTGTAAATGACCAGTAACCCCCATATTTTGGAGTCCTGTAGCTCAGTGGTTAGAGCATTCGTCGCTCAAGCGAGAGACCTTGGTTCAATTCCCGGCAGGGCAAGATGTTGGGCAAGTTTCCTTTGTTTACCTAGCAGTAAGTAGGAACTCGGTTGTTAGTCGATTGGTGTATCGCTTTTCTGGGGGTAATAATTCCCTCAAAAAATAATAAGTTGGTCACTTCAATCCACGATTGTTTGTGGGACAATGCTGTGCGCAATTGGCTGCTGCGTTTCGCCCACAAAATATATAGTCAAGTCAATTTACAGTATATTCTGTGAAGCGCTTTCAAACATCTCGAAGATGTGATAAGGTGCAAGGATTATTATTATTATTATTGTGTTGTTTACTTTTTGCTTTTAAATGCACTTCTTTTAGTTCACAATACTGAGTTTATTTCTCAATCCAAACATGTTTGAAACATTTTGCCAACTACCGGAATTAAAACTTTTTTTCCCCCTGACATTATCACAGCACTTCTATCAACTAAGTGTGGTTGTTGTCTAAACCGATTTGAAAAGAATCATTTGACTCATTTTGAATTATGAAATAATGTTCTAGCTCATTGGCTTGAGATTCAACCTAATTTCTTTCCTAAAGAACGCTATAGAAGGCATTGGAGTTACAGTCATGTTTCAAGTACCTTGATGTTTTGGTAGCAAATTAAAGTTAATTTAAAGATTATCATAACATTTTATATTCATATTAAGGTTTTTAAAATTGATCCATTGATTTTCCACATGTTATCCTAATAATTAGAAGCAATACAACCAACAGTTTGATGACTTGATTTTAATATACAGAAGATATATTAAAATGCCAGTGTAAATGTAGTTGAATACTGCAATTTACTTGAGGGGTAATCATCTTCCATTTCAATTTTTTCAGGCAGTTGTCCACTCAAGCAGAACATACTGCAGAGCAGATAGCCACGAGTGCTATCCTCTTCCAAGCAGCTAATGACAGGCTAGTGCAAGCTAAAAAGAGGGTGAGATTCCTGAAGACGCACCAAATTTCTAATGAAATTATAAATGCACTGGGAGACAAACAGAATGCTACTGAAAACTAAGGTTTCAAGCATATTTCTTCGCCTTTACTGATCAACTTCAGAACAAATGTTCTAGACATTTGACAGGGAGACAGTATAATCATATCTCCAAGTTGCAGTATGGAGAAAATGCTGACTTCTATAAGAATCAGTAATGACAATGTTCATAGGATTTTTCTATTCCTCTTAGTATAAAATGGCTTGTATGTCATGCTTTGTACAAACTGATGTCAGCATTACATCGTATGAATTTGAGAATTATATGATGCACCAGTTATAACCCGACTGCATTTATTTATACAGCAGAGATTTTGTAGATCATTTTTAAAGATATGTGAACAAAATGGCCGGTTGTCAAAACATTCTCAAGAACCGTGGATTTTCTGTTGAAACAATTTTTTTTCTCTGTCATGTTTATTATTTTCAAGGGACTGAAAATAACAACTCTGCAATAGATTTCTTTAACCACCATTTACACTGTTGTCAGCAAAGTGACTTTGCTCCTGGCAATATGGAGCAGAAAGCTGAGTTTATACTACCTATTCTATTAATGGTAATTGGGACCAAATACAAACTTTAGATTATAGTGTTCCATTCTTCAATGATTAACAAGCAGATTTAAAAGGTGGTGAGGTCAAGAGCTTGGCTCCAGTGCACTGAATCCATGTTTCATCTATTTGTTTGGCAACAGCACAGTGGCCCTTCAAATGTATCTCATAAACGTGTGTCAGCCTGGTGTAGTGGTAGCACTCTCACCACTGAGTCAGAAGGTTGCGGGTTCAAAATCCAAATTGAGACTTGGAATCACATAGTCTAAGCTGACACTCCAATACAGTGCTGGTGGGGTGTTGCATTGTCGGAGGTGCCGTCCTTTGGATGAGACGTTAAACCGAGGTCCCATCTGCCTATTCAGGTGGACGTTAAAGACCCCTTGGCATTATTCAGAAACAGAAGGGAGTTTCTCCTGATGTCCTGGCCAACAATTCCCCAAAATAAAATTGGTCATTCACTTCATGGCTGTTGTGAGACATTGCTGTCCGGAAATTGGCTGCTGAATTTTACCCACAAACCACACAGTCAAAACCACTTTACAGTATATCCTGTAAAAAGCTTTGAGATGTCTCCACAATGTGATAAAGAGCTATATCAAATGTAAGGATTATGATAAAATGCATGATTATAGGTAAATCACACAAATTGTAGTGAAAAAGGATATCACGGACCTAAAAATAACAAAGTTCCAGCTGCCTGACCACAATTATTAATTCAAATAATTGAAGAATGAAATGTTCCTGATCTCCTTGAAGGTGTTCTTCGACCAGCAATGGAAGCTTGGGACCAGCACTCTAAAAAATAATCATTCTCAAGTGATTTACTGTACATATTCAAGAAGGTAGCTAATACAAAATAAGAACATAGTACCTTATCACATTAAAACATTTCAAAGCATTCCTGGAGTAATTATTGTACTGACTGTTTTTGCAGGCAAACATGGTAGCGAGATCTTGCAAATAGCATGACATTATCTTTCAATACCGTGATGTAAGAATAGTTCACAATCTCAAACAAAGGAACTATGAATTATGCCATGGTGTCTTACTTAAATCACTAGTTTCTATTTATAAGTAATTTGAATTTTAATAAGAATTCAAATGAACTTCTATTTGTTTTACCTCAGGCTTTCAATTTTTACTTCAGGAGCCCACCCAGCTGATAAGCTAGGCAGTCTAGTCAATCCACAATGCGATCAAAAGTATTATGGTCCTGCCTAGCTCAGGTTTCAGATCAATGCACAATCCCATAGAGCAGGATTGATTAATTTTCATTCACTAGGCATGTTAGCATGGAGCCAGTAACCACTGCCTACCATTCCATCCCCTACATTAGAAGGCTGTTGCAAATTATGTTTTTTTTAAAAATGACTTAATGTCTCACCTGTTTGTAACCATGCTTGTTTTTCCATTTAAACATAAAACAATGTTTCCTGTTGAACATGTGGATCGTATACATTTGGTTCAACAGAACATTTTTTAAAATAGGCTCATCTAAAATAACGTGAACATTATTATAGTTTTCCAGGTAATTGATACTATTTTGCAAGTGCCATTTGAACCATTTGTTCCAGGTATTTGCTTGCTAGATGTTAATCTGCTGAGTGTATGTCTTACACTCTATAGTATCTACTATTGGTAAAAGCACAGTATAGTGCCCCCTGTTGGTGAATTCGGAGGGCAACAAATATTTCATTGTGTACTAATTAATTTTGCTCATTTATAAATGTGATTATCTGAATATGTGGAAAATATAATGTTAAAGTCAATTCAGTGGCTTGAAAAGTTGTTTTAGCAACATACTGCACACACACAGACACACACACATTAGACCTATGTATTTTGTGGGGAAAATCAAGTCTTCCAACACATTCTAATCATTAAGTGAAGAAGCATTCCTAAGGATCCAATCAGCTCAATCTGGGATAAGAGTGGGACTGAGAAAGTTATGAAGATATTCAGTTCAAGAACTTGTTTTTAAGTCTCATGCCATTAGGTTCTTGTATCATTCATTATTAATTAGAAATAGTCTGTTTTTCAATAGCAATCACATTTTAACATTTTAAACACTTAAAATGGATGCATATTTTTATGTGAACCAGTGATGTATATTTGGTACTAAAGCATTATTGCATCCAATATTATAATTCATATACTTATATCCAATATTATAATTCATACAAAACTTTGCTTCTACATTTTACCAAATATATAATTTTAGGACAAACAAGGATAATGACTAACTTTTGTTCTTATTGTGCCAAATAGTTGGCAATGTAGAACTTTCGCTAAATGATTATATTGACTAAGACAGTTGTTTTGGTATTAACAAATGATTAGATTAAGCATTGCTGCTGGCTGAACAGCTGGGTCATTCATGATCCATGTGAACTCATGAAAGAGAATTTATAGATACCTTGAGACATAGTTATGACTTGTCAGAGGCTTTAAAGGTCAGTCTAGTGGTAAAACAGAACTCCAATAAGAAATAATGATATCTTTCAATCCCCACTTTCAAAATATCTCATTGCGATGAAAAATGTATTAATAAAAGCATTGAGGATGTTACAGGACGTTATATATTTGACTGCTTAACATCCTCCCTCAGTACATTCTTCAAAACAAAAGTTTTTCCTTGATAATACCATCACCAATGTATAACTGATTACCCAAATGTTCACTTCATACAACATAAAAACGTATGAAACATGGAACAAGTAAGGGCCATTTGTTCTCTCACGCCTATCCTTTCCACATGACATGCATTTCGTACCCTTATCACGAGATACATCCTCCCAGTTTACCGTGCAAGCCAAAGCTCTAACAGATAGGGTGGTCCTAGCTAGACAAGCATCGGGAACGCTTGCCAACTGCTATCAATGGCAGGCTATGCGGTATTGGCTGGTTAGACTCCAGTAGTACCTCAACATACACTCTGGGTTCCCCAAGCCTTGGCTCTTGTCATCCTGCACCTAATACTTTCCGGAATTAGGTAAGTAGGATGCATCCCTCCAGGGAGAGAGTGCAGATTCCATTCCAATGGTTTATGTCTGGAATTTCCATGTGTTGGTGGGATGCAAGGAATTCTCAGTTTGGTTTGGATACTGTTAACCATACACTGTTACTGTTAACTCGATAGATTTTTAAAAACGAAAGGGATTAAGGGATGTGGATAGGGCGGGTAAATGGATCAGCCATGATCTTATTAAATAGCGGGACAGGCTCGAGGGGCCAAATGGCCTACTCCTGCTCCTATTTCTTATGTTTTTAACCACGGTGAGGGTTTCTGCATGGTCAGACACCCGGCTTCTTTCCCTCCATAGATAACACCCATAGAACAGTAAAAAATGTACTGTAAAAAAGAAGGTCATTTGTCCCACCATACCTGTGCTGGGTTTGTGAAAGAACAATCCATGTAATCCCATTTATCCGACCTCCCCCACAATAATACAGATTCTGCCTCGACCATGCAGTATAATTTGTTATAATGTATAATTATGCACACATTTATTAAATTCCACTTTTTTTGTTTGTTACCACACCAGCCACTGATCATTGGCAATTTGTTCTGTAGATGTTTCAGATTTTTCTTTTAAAAATGGTATATTCACTTAAATTCAGACCGCATCCAAAGTGAAGTACCTTCAAACAATGATTCTCTTGAGAGGTATGATGAAGTCCAGTAAATTGCCACCAGAGGGCAATAAAAATGCAGATTATTAAAAAGGAAGCCAGTAAGTGCCCAAATGTTATATGTAAGAACTACCCATTTGGATGTCCTGTAGAACAAAAAGTAGCAAATTTAAAGATTTTTTAAAAACCAGGTTGTTTCTGTTTTCCTTCCCTTTGAACATAAGTAACTATTTCTGTCCTAGTTTCTTCTGCTAGGAGCATGTTGATCACAGGTGCCTGTGCAGCTTCAGCTACTGATGGATGGCAAATGTTGAAAGCCCTTATGAAATAAACTCTAATTATTTCCTACAAAACAGCCCCTATGCCCTCCTCTGAAGCAAAAGTTTTGGACACCTGTTTGTGAGTCAAGGGTACATCTTTAGCCTCCCCCCCACCGCTCAATTTGACCCCCACTACCTGTCGTTTTTACGGCTACAGATGTATTTAACTAACTTTCCCTTGAATTTTTTGCCTTCCAGCATCGTAAAAAAAATCAGTCTTTACTGATTAAAATTATTTGTGTCAGATTGCAGAACATTGCAAAAATGAATAAATATCATATGTTTACTTGAATTAAATTTAAAGATACACAAGCCCAAGTGTGGTCACAAATGAATTGCAGAGAAGCATTAAAGTTACATTACCCTAATGAAAGAATCATGAGGTCATTGCTCATGTTATGCCTATGCTGGTTTTATATGGTTGAACTGTGGATCTAAACTGGTTTTGAACCCAAAATGTTTTATTTATTTCTACATACCATGTTGACATATGCAACAGAGTAACTGATTAGATGGGACATTTCTACTAGTTATTCTGATTTTATGTAACCAAACAATGGTAAACTAATCCCTATTGAATCTGCCTGTATTAAATATTAAATGTTACTTAAATTGCTGCAAACACATTTGTGTCAGAACTTTTGCAGTCAACAGACATAAAATGTTTCTCATTAGTCTATGCTGTATTTAAAACAATTTAATTGTTTAGTGTTTTACAGTGCTATATTCTATTCTAATTTAGTGAGGAAACCAGATTTAACTGGAGATAAATGTTTCTTCCCCCTTTTCTGTATATAGAAATCAATAAAAGTATAAGAGTAAGGAATCTAGATCTTAGGACTGCCCTCAGTGTATCTCGTTTTAAGACCTATCTTTTCAACTGCATTTTTGGCCATCACCCTGCAGCTTAGACTTCTCGTCAGCTGTGTAAAGCACTTTGAGGCACCTCTCCGACATGAAATGCTCTATATAAATGTAAATCGTTTTGAAACCACATTTGACTTGTGTGACAACGAATGTGCCTATAGAATAGTATATGGCCTACTGACCACGATGGTTTGCTTTTGAGATCAAGCAAATTATTAATTATTAAGATGTGGAATGTTATTTATTCCTTTTGTAAGAAAACCCTCATTATTTCAGTGCTGCTTACTCTATGGATGAGTTGTGAAATTCCCATTCATGAAATTAAATACAAATTCCATTGCTTAATTAATAACAGGATTATATCAGATACACTTGGGAGGGACTCATACAGTGTTA